TGCATGGGTGGAATGTCTGAACAGGGTGTTCTGTGTGTGGTCTGAGACTTGAGGTTTTTTCATGGATTTACAACATTGGCAAAATCTGGACTCTTCCAAGCTTGGGTGCTGTGGATGGGCAGCCACTGGCCTTACAAGCCAGACGAGGGCGCTATTCAGGGAAAGAGGCAACTCCTTCTTTGTTTGTCCCTCAACCCAGCATTTTCAGGCAAGGGGCTGGTTGTGAATCCTTGACCCCCAAATGCGAGAGATACTCACGTATACAAAGGCTGTAGCTGCAAGTGCGACATCTTTTGAGGGGCCTGGTAGCCGTAGGAGTCAAATCCTCCAATGAAATCAACTGCGGAGGGGATGGGAAAAAAAATGTGTAAACGTGCAAACATATTACAAGGCCAGTAAGGGGGAACTGCACCCCTCTTGATATTGTTGGAACTGCAGCTCCCATTAGCCAGTGGTGAGAGATTGTGGGCACTGTAGTTCAATAACATTGCCCACCCTTTCTCTAGACCAATGGCGGGAAGACTTTGGGGCCTCCTGCTAAACCACAGTCTGAACATCTGGAAACATCCCTTCATGATTTCAAGCAGAGAATTACTTCTGAAAACACAGCTTGGCAGTGCCCCCTGGATTCGTCTTATAAGTCTGGATGCCCAGGTTTTATCAGTGGCGAGGAGTGCCTTGGTGACAGTTAAACCTAGCGCGTCAGTTGTGCCCGTTACTTGAGAGCTCTGATTTGGCCATAGTGATGTATGCCCTAGTTGCATCTCGGTGGGATTATTTTAATGCACTCTACGTGGGTTTGCCTCTGGAAAGTGTCTGGAAACTTCAGATGGTCCAAAATGCTGCAGCCAGATTGTTAACTGTGGCTGGTTACAGGGAACATGTGACACCCTGTTACAACAGCTCCATACTGGACATAATACAAAGTGCTGATTTTAACCCGTAAAGCCCTAAACGGCTTTGGTCCAAGCTATCTAAAAGATCGCATCCCCCTCTATGAGCCTGCCCAGGAGTTAAGATCTTCAGGGGCGGCCTTTCTCTCAGTCCTCACAGACATCCTCACAGTTGTGTCTGATGGTTGCTTCTCCCAGACTCTGGAATTCCCTCCCATGTGAAGCCAGGCTGGTTCCATCTTTGCTGTCCCTCCACAAGCGGGCGAAGACCTCAAGATGGCCTGTTAGAACTTTAGGACCTACATCAAGAGCCACCCTATTGATCCAATTAGCCCAGGGTCATCTGCTCAGAACGGCACCAGCTCTTTAGGGTTTGGGGCCAAGCTCTTGCACAGCAGCTTTTAAATAATTTAGAAAGTTAAACTGATAGGATTCGTGCACCAGATTCACTATAAGGTGCTTCCTGCATTACTGTGTGAAACAAACAAAGGGATGAAAGCATTTTAAAATAAATTAAATAAAAATAAAAGTGAAGAGCAGGTATTCATGGGGGAAGTCTACACTGCTTCTGACAAATGTGCGGTCTCACCTACAAATGTGCGTGTATGCATGACACTCCTGAGAAGGGTAGGTGAAGTTGCTGGACAACAAATATCAGCCTCCCGCACCATATGCGGTGCTGGCTAGAGCAGATGGGCATGGCAGTCCAGCAACATCAGGCAGGGCACACTTTGCATGCCCTTGACTTAGAGCAGTGGTTCCCAAGCCTGGGTCCCCAGATATAGTTTCTGGACTACAACTCCCAGAAACCTTGGCCAGCACAACCAGTGGTGAAGGCTGTTGGGAGTTTTAGTCCAAGAACATCTGGGGACCCAAAGTTGGGAACCACCGACCTAGAGAATGCAGAAGAATCTGGAGTGAAATATGTTACAGTATGTAGCTCCTGTATTCACGGGGATGGAGTGGTGCTGCTAACTTTTCTATTATCACCAGTCCTGTACTTATAAAGATACAGACCAAGAAAAAGTGCCAGGGGTGAACCTCCCCTGGCAAACTGAGAGAAGAAATAAGTTGCAATGGCTGCATTTAAAAAAAAAAAGTTGAAGATCCTAAAACTACTGCTAGGGAAAAATAACCATGTCAAATCTATTCCAACTTTCTTTCTTTCTTTCTTTCTTTCTTTCTTTCTTTCTTTCTTTCTTTCTTTCTTTCTTTCTTTCTTTCTTTCTTTCTTTCTTTCTTTCTTTCTTTCTTTCTTTGCAATTAAATACACAGAAAAGCATTCAAGAAACCTACATCAATAAGAATAATTAAAGGTTAGCCGTAGCTCATACTCATTCCATCCTCCCTTCCAATCCTCATGCTTTTCCCCCACTCCACACTGTCTGAGCAAGTCAAAGATGCTTTTAATACACTTTGAAAATGAATTTTCCTACAGCTGAGGTCCAGTTTCATCTTTTTAATGGACTGTCTTATTAGATTTGGGAAGAGAAGAATGACTGTCAAAGAAAAAAAGGCAAAAGCTAGCTAAATATGGTTAGCAAAGAAAAACAGGCTTGAAATATCAGATTTTGTCCGGACACCCAATTCTAGGAGTTAGGTTTTGATAGTCCATACAATTTGTAGCTGCTTCAATGAGCCTTTTGTCAAGTGCAAAGTTCATTAATGTTCATTTGTGTCAGATAATACTGTTGAGACTGAAGATGCCCCAACAGAAGACTTGAAAACAGACAAACGACTGATTGCAAGAGATCGGCAAGTGTCCGACTTAAAAAAATGTTTCTAATTTTCCATTACATTGGTCTAGAATATTACTGAGACAGCCCTGGGCAGGTGGGTTGATTTCTTTGGGGACTTTTAAAAATTTCCTTGTACAGTGGGCATATTTACTTCATTTTCTTGAGCAGTAACCATCCAATAAGCTGCCGCTAAACTCCTGGGGGAAATAAAGGAGCAATTTATGCTGCTACACAGGCCAATTTTATCTTTTTTTTAAAATTGCCTTTGCTGTAAATTCCCTTGGGAGCCACTGCGGTTAAAAGGAGAGATAAATTTACATAAATAAGTAAGCTAAACAGTGGCATTCCACCCCCTCCTCTCCAGGCACCATAGAGAGGTGCAGATTTTTAAGAGCAGCCTCTCTTGAGGCAAATAACTCCAGGTAGTGTGTACTACAACTCCTATCATCCCCAGGCAGCATGCCTGGTGGTCAACTGGATAGGAGTTTCAGACCAAAACATCCAGCAGAAGCCAGTTGAAATCCATAGATTTTAAAAAGGTCCATGATGTGACCACAATAACATAGGTCACTTTTTATGGCCTAACTGGAAAATTGAAATTTTCCATTTCGATCAGAAATGGAAAATATTGCTTCTCTGGACTTTAGCTCACAGAATCCCATAGCCATCATGGTCATCAATTCTGGGGATTACAGTCCACAAAAACGTTTTCCCCTCTGCGCTGCAGATGAACCTACATGGAAGAAGTTGGAGCTACATTTCACTATGACTGACCCATTACATTAGAATTTGCTTGCTGCAACCCAGAAAAAAAATACAGAGAGATTTGGAAGATTGGAATAAGCTACAAATCTCAATGATGGGACTTGGACAGCCTGACCTTGAAATTTGTCTGGAAGGCCAAAAAGCCAAGAATAAAACTTAGAACGCTACAAGACTTAAAGAGGGAGGAGGACTAGAACTGCCGAATTAGCTTAAAAAGGCCTACGCTATGGTTTGGATAAAAGAATGGATAACATTAGAAAATCAAAGACTGTTGAAATTGGAAGGTCATGATTTAGAAATTGGTTGACATGCATATGTATGGTATGGAAAAAGCAAAGAACAGACACATGTCTCAGAACATAATTGTGAGGAAAGCCCTATATTTAATATGGCAAAAATTTCAAATGCAAAGCTGTAAGAAAATTCCAATATGGGTAGCCCCAATTGAGGCCTTTACATTAAAAGTGCTAAGCCAGGAGGGAGCCCTAATCACGTATAAAGACTTGCTAACTAAAGATCAAACTCTGAAAAAATAAACAAGATTTAGAGGGACTGGGGCTATCAACAGACTGGTGGTCAATGTTGAAACTAGAAGCAAGATATAAAAAGGACAGAAATATGGACTTTTTTGAGGGGAAGTTCAGGTGCATAAACTATGGGTTTATACAAAAGAGAAAATAATCAAAAAATGTATACCAATCAATTAGAGAATGACCTGGAAGACGAGAGGGCGAAGGAAGTGATGGTCAAATGGGCATAAAACTTTGGCTATAACGTTGATATAGATGACTGGATGAACATATGGAAAGATAATTATAAGTTAATTAAACCAGTTAATCTTAGAGAAAATATCCTTAAAATGTTTTATAGATGGCATTTTCCGTTTAGTCGTTTAGTCATGTCCGACTCTTCGTGACCCCATGGACCAGAGCACGCCAGGCCCTCCTGTCCTCCACTGCCTCCCGGAGTTGTGTCAAATTCATGTTGGTTGCTTCGCAGACACTGTCCAGCCATCTCATCCTTGGTCGTCCCCTTCTCCTCTTGCCGTCACACCTTCCTAACATCAAGGTTATTTCCAAGGACTCTTTTCTTCTTATGAGATGGCCAAAGTACTGGAGCCTCAGCTTCAGGATCTGTCCTTCCAGTGAGCACTCAGAGTTGATTTCCTTTAAAATTCATAGGTTTGTTCTCCTTGCAGTCCAGGGGACTCTCAAGAGCCTCCTCCAGCACCACAATTCAAAGGCATCAATTCTTCGGCGGTCAGCCTTCTTTATGTTCCAACTCTCACTTCCATACATCACGACAGGAAAAACCATAGCTTTGACTATGTGTACCTTTGTTGGCAAGGTGATGTCTCTGCTTTTTAAGATGCTGTCAAGGTTTGTCATCGCTTTCCTCCCAAGAAGCAGGCATCTTATAATTTCATGGCTGCTATCTCCATCTGCAGTGATCATGGAGCCCAGGAAAATAAAATCTGTCACTGCCTCCATGTCTTCCCCTTCTATTTCCCAGGAGGTGATGGGACTAGTGGCCATGATCTTAGTTTTTTTTTGATGTTGAGTTTCAGACCGTTTTTTGCACTCTCCTCTTTCACCCTCATTACAAGGTTCTTTAATTCCTCCTCACTTTCTGCCATCAGAGTGGTATCATCTGCATATCGGAGGTTGTTGATATTTCTTCCCGCAATCTTAATTCCGGTTTGGGATTCCTCCAGTCCAGCCTTCCGCATGATGTATTCTGCATATAAGTTAAATAAGCTGGGGGACAATATACAGCCTTGTCGTACTCCTTTCCCAATTTTGAACCAATCAGTTGTTCCATATCCAGTTCTAAGTAGATATTTTTCTGGAACTCTCTGGCTTTCTCCATAATCCAGCGCAAGTTAGCAATTTGGTCTCGAGTTCCTCTGCCTCTTCGGAATCCAGCTTGTACTTCTGGGAGTTCTCGGTCCACATACTGCTGAAGCCTACCTTGTAGGATTTTGAGCATAACCTTGCTAGCGTGTGAAATGAGTGCAATTGTACGGTAGTTGGAGCATTCTTTGGCACTGCCTTTCTTTGGGATTGGGATGTAGACTGATCTTTTCCAATCCTCTGGCCACTGTTGAGTTTTCCAAACTTGCTGGCATATTGAATGTAGCACCTTAACAGCATCATCTTTCAAGATTTTAAATAGTTCAATTGGAATGCCATCACCTCCACTGGCCTTGTTGTTAGCCAGGCTTTCTAAGGCCCACTTGACTTCGCTCTCCAGGATGTCTGGCTCAAGGTCAGCAACTACATTGTCTGGGTTGTCCGGGATATCCACATCTTTCTGATATAATTCCTCTGTGTATTCTTGCCACCTCTTCTTGACGTCTTCTGCTTCTGTTAGGTCCTTCCCATTTTTGTCTTTTATCATGTTCATCTTTGCGCAAAATGTTCCTCTAATATCTCCAATTTTCCTGAAGAGCTCTCTGGTCTTTCCTTTTCTGTTATCTTCCTCTATTTCTTTGCATTGTTCATTTAAGAAGGCCCTCTTGTCTCTCCTTGCTATTCTTTGGAAGTCTGCATTCAATTTTCTGTAACTTTCCCTATCTCCCTTGCATTTTGCTTCCCTTCTCCTCTCTGCTATTTCTAAGGCCTCGTTGGACAGCCACTTTGCTTTCTTGCATTTCCTTTTCTTTGGGATGGTTTTCGTTGCTGCCTCTTGGACAATGTTACGAGCCTCTATCCAAAGTTCTTCAGGCACTCTGTCCACCAAATCTAGTTCCTTAAATCTGTTCTTTACTTCCACTGTGTATTCATAAGGGATTTGGTTTAGATTATACCTGAGTGGCCCAGTGGTTTTTCCTACTCTCTTCAGTCTAAGCTTGAATTTTGCTATGAGAAGCTGATGATCAGAACCGCAGTCAGCTCCAGGTCTTGTTTTTGCTGACTGTATAGAGCTTCTCCATCTTTGGCTGCAGAGAATATAATCAATCTGATTTTGATATTGCCCATCTGGTGATTTCCATGTATAGAGTCGCCTCTTGTGTTGTTGGAAAAGAGTGTTTGTGATGACCAGCTTATTCTCTTGACAAAACTCTATTAGTCTTTGTCCTGCTTCGTTCTGAACTCCAAGTCCAAACTTCCCTGTTGTTCCTTTTATCTCTTGGCTCCCTACTTTAGCATTCCAGTCCCCTAGAATGAGAAGAACATCTTTCTTTGGTGTCAGTTCTAGAAGGTGTTGTAAATCTTCATAAAACTGTTCAATTTCAGTCTCCTCAGCAGTGGTGGTTGGTGCATAAACTTGGATTATTGTGATGTTGAAAGGTCTGCCTTGGATTCATATTGACATCATTCTATCATTTTTGAGATTGTATCCCATTACAGCTTTTCCCACTCTTTTGTTGACTATGAAGGCTACTCCATTCCTTCTACGGGATTCTTGCCCACAATAGTAGATATGATAATCATCTGAGCTGAATTCACCCATTCCTCTCCATTTTACTTCACTGATGCCCAGGATGTCGATGTTTATTCTTGCCATCTCCTGTTTGACCACCTCTAACTTCCCAAGGTTCATAGATCTTACATTCCAGGTTCCTATGCAGTATTTTTCTTTCCAGCATCGGACTTTCCTTTCACTTCCAGGCACGTCCACAGCTGAGCGTCCTTTCGGCTTTGGTACAATCACTTCATTAGCTCTGGAGCTACTTGTACTTGTCCTCCGCTCTTCCTCAGTAGCATGTTGGACGCCTTCCAACCTGAGGGGCCCATTTTCCAGCGTCATATCTTTTAGCCTTTTGTTTCTGATCATGGGGTGTTCTTGGCAAAGATACTGGAGTGGCATTGCCAGTTCCTACTCCAGGTGGATTGCGTTTAGTCAGAACTCTCCACTATGACCTGTCCGTCTTGGGTGTCCCTGCACGGCATAGCCCATAGCTTCTCTGAGTTACTCAAGCCCCTTTGCCACAACAAGGCAGCAATCCATGAAGGGGAAATGGCATTTTACTCCAGTAAGATTGGTAAAGAAGGGATCAGTAATGCTTGTTGGAAATGTAAAAAAGATAAATAAAAAAAATCCAGGGACTTATTATCATGTATGGTGGTCATGTGGAAAAGCAAAAAATAATTGGTTACAAGTTTGGGAAATGTCACAAGAAATTATCCAGCAAAAACTAAGCTTTAAATCCAAATTGTTTTTATTGAATATAATACCAGAGATCATAGATAAAAAAATAAAATATAGTCTATACTGTATATATACACAGTAGCTAGGTTACTCTGGGCCCCAAAGTGGAAGAATGGTGAAATACCAACGATGGAGGAACTACCAAAGAAGCTACTGGATATTGCAGAACTGGATATGCTTTTAGAGGCAATATGAGATCAACTGAGACACTTTGTAAAGGAAAGCTGGAAGATGATGTACAGTTGGGTCCAGAAAGAGACAGGAACTTAGGGGAAGAAATGATTGTGGCAAACCAGTACTTACTATATAAGAACCTGTTGATGATATTAGATGACCTAGACCAGCGATGGTGAACCTATGGCATGCATGCCACAGCTGGCACGCAGAGCCCCCTTTCTGCGGGCACACAAGCCATAAGTGACTGGACCACTACTCCCCCCCCCTCGCGCAGCCAAACCTGAGAATGCGGCTGAGCCACAGTGCTGGCACTTCAACAAGCGGATCCAGAGTGGGGTTTTGAGGCACCTCCATGCCCTGGATTCCCACTTTCGGTTCTTCCGCCACCACTTCCAGTTCCACCACCATGGCACGCCACCCACTGGTTGTCCCCCCCCCAGTATGGACACGCAAGCCGAAAAATATTCCCCGCCACTGACCTAGACAATGGCAAAATCTATATAATCTATATATGTCTTGTTTTTGCTGTTTTTGTTGTGTCTTACTTTGGTGTTTTATATGTTTGTATGTATGAATAACAATAAAATAGAATTTAAAAAAGAATTTGCTTGCTGCTGTCACCTCAGCGTGTGTGTCTTTTTTATTATTGTTACCGTATTTTTCTGTTTACAAGGCACAACCGTTTATAAGACCCCCCACTTTTCTAACCCCCAAATTAAGAAATGTAAACTTAGATTTGAGTATTCAGTCTCTGGTCTCAGAATGCTCGGACATTATGAGTCCCTGTTGCATCTGAGCCTACAGACTCCACCTCCAACGAGGTGTGTTCCAATTGGTTTGTTCAACATCAACTGATGTTAGTTCCATAAGGCTCGTAATTTGAGGAAGCCTGTTTACAGAGGCAAGGTACGGGCCATTTTGTTCTCTCCTCAACTTACTTCTGTGTATAAGACGCCCCTCAATTTTTAATGTAATGATTTTAGGAAAAAGTAGCATCTTATACATGGAAAACTACTGTAAATATTCCCATATTTTCCCATATAGAAAAAATACAGTATTTTATTTTGTTTATTGTTATTTAATTTGTTCATTTACTTGGTGAGTGACTGGGTTTTAATTGTTGTAAACCACCCAAAGTAGTAGCTTGCCATTAGATAAATATTAATCTCAGTATTACTAGACACCTCAAATCTATATAGCCCAAATATTTTGGTACATTTGAAAGTGCTTTCTCTTGTTCAGTGTGACTTCTTTGCATAATACTTACAGCTGTCTTCTTCTTCCATAAACACTTTGCTGACATAGCAGGCATAAACGAATCCAAAGAGCTTCAAATATAATTTTTAAAAGAAGAGAAAGAAAAAAACAATTATTTGAAATCAAGGAAATGAAAGGAGATTTGGTATCAGATATTATCATTATGATGCTAAGCAAATTAATCAGATGACGAACAGAAAATATCAAGCATGCTGTTTCAGTAGGGGGAAAGATCCAAAGGAAATCGAAGTTAATACTTTTATGGGGATCAATTTTAATGGAGTACAACTCCCCCCTCCCAAAACGTAGGACTCGTAATGTAAAAACAATTTCCCCACATCTCCCCCTGAATATTACAAGGAATTGAACAACCTTATGAGTTTATTAAATTAAGAATCAGTGACCCAAATCCTGCTGAGTAACTATGCCTGCATAACTCAAAGCTGCATAAGTGGTTGAGAAATTCATGACAAGGTAGAAGTCATATCCAGGAAGCAGTTCCGCAGGCATGTTGAACAACGCACAGCATGATCAATTAATTGTGCAATCAGACACACAATCTGGACTGTTGACTGCACATAACCCCCCATGACCTGTTGCTAGCCTTATCTCTATGCTACAACATGTACAATAGGATTCTTGCCAGTAACTGTTATAAGCAAAATGAAAGAGGGAGAAAAAGAAAAATGTATAAAATTCTTGGTCCCATAAACTAAAAATGAGAAATTTAACATTTTTCCTCAACGCATGATAATGGGAATCTCACTGTTGCCTAAATATTGTATCTGTTAATATGGTTCCCACTGCAGAGGTATTTGACAGTGCAGGTAGGCATTGTGGGGTCTTTCCGCACCACAGAACCCTACAGCAGTCTGACATAACGTTCCAGAATGAAAGGGAAGGACAAGATTATTTTGTGCAATTCTGCAAAAATGTGGGCAGCATTCTCTTTCCCTTCTTCATCACCACCATCAGATAGATTCTTATCGGTGTCAAGAGGTGAGTAGCAACTGAGCCTCAACAACTACAGGAGGGCATGTGGGGCTGATGGATCACAAGTTGCCCATCCACATTAGTAAATACATCGACATAAGCCCTACTGAATTCAGTGGGGTGTACATCCCGGTAGACATGTGCTGTTAATCTAGGCCAGGGGTGGGCAGTGCATCATCTTTAGGCTACAAGCAACCCAACAGAAGCATCCCAGACCTCCAAGCAACCTCATGCCCTCCCACATTTTGGGGAAAGATGTCTTCTATAAGCTCAAATGAATGACTTAATCAAGTTCTTTAAAAGTATATTTTTTTAAAGTGGGAACTCACTAGAAGGGGTACAGCCCCCCCAGGTGCAAGTGTGAGATTCTCCAGCCCGTGAATTGCTAGCAGTTGCCCATCTTTGATCTAGATCAATGGTTCCCAACCTCGGGTTCTCAAATGTTCTTGGTCTAAAACTGCTAGAAGCCTTCACCACTAGCTGTGCTGGCCAGGATTTCTGGGAATTGTAGTCCAAGAATATCTGGCAACCCAAGTTTGGGAGCCACTAATCTGAAACATCCAGAGGACACGTGGTTGCTGCCTCTGCCCTGCTTTGTTCTTAGGAGGCTCTCCCTATTTAATCTTTGCTGAGAAATGATCAGTCAAAGAACCTTTGCCACGATAGCTCCCACATTCCAGTGGCTGTGTTTATTCAAGGATTCTGGGAATATTCTTTTTGACTGCTGAATGACTCGGCTGCAGTATACTCTGTGAGTTCTTCTAAAAAATATATCAACACTACCTGACTTACAAATTATAGGTACAAATTCAGCATACAAACCATGTCAATCCTTCTTTCCACAATTTATTCTGAAGCTCTCTAGTAGGTGGAACAAAGACCATACAATGGTCAATGACATCTACCCAGCCCCAAATCTTTCGGACTCTACTTGGGCACTCTTTGTGGATGCTGAGTCATAAGCTCTTTTTAATTCCTCTACTCCTCTCCTACTTAGAAAGGAACACATGGAAGCCAGCTTGAGGGGCGTTTGGAAAACCTTTCTACCTAGATTGTCCTAAACAGGTTTCCTGAATCATTAAATGGTGCCTGAAATCCAGTTGCTCTTGGTGTAAGGCAAAGTTATGCCTGCAGAAGATTGCAGGGGATTATGGCCAGGCTGGCCAGCACTGTGCAACTAGTTATGCTACTCTGATGGGTGGCGACTGCTCACCATGCTCATTGCTGGGCACCAGCTGTAACCTCTCTGTCCTATTTGCCTTGGGGCTAGGGTGGAGGAAAAGGATTAGGAATCGAGCCCATCCACCTCTTGGGTAAATCTGCCTTTTCTTTTTCTTTTTTCCTTTCTCCAGTGCAGAAACCGTTGAGAAGGAGGAGATACAGAAGACGATGGATGTTGGTGGTGGCAAGAAGGAGCAAATGGAGGGAAATAGAAAAGAAGACTTTTTTTTAAAAAAAAGTAACATATTCCTTTCGAGATTCTCTGTATTTTCCAGCATGATGCCCATGTAAATGTCTACTTGTGTAATACTCACATGTAATTACTTTGTGAATATGACTTCTGTCTTGATGCCATTATTGCTACTGCTGGTGTAATTCTGAATTACACAAGCACAGTACTACAACAGGATTTCAGCCAGTATGTTTCTTTCTTTTCTTTTGTATCTTAGCCCCTGTTTCCAGAGCAATTACACTCTTCAGTAGCCAAAATCTCAGAACTTAGCAGTTGCATTTTGCCTGTAAAACACCAAACAATCCTGTGCCCACTAAGCATGTCCTGTTCCTTAACTCTCCAGGTCTTTAAGGTGTTGAGAGGAAGTCTCTCAGATTGAATCCCCAAGTGCACTGGGTGTGTGTTGAGTCAAACAGGTGCTGGGTGTTCAGAAAGGAACTGAGGAACACAAGACAACATTCTTCTCCAGCACTGCTACCCTGATCAAAGCAATAGCCCTCCTGTCAGCCCAACATCCGCATTTAGTTAAAAAAAAATTGGGAAAAAAATCAAAGATCCGTTGCAGTTCTTCCTAGCAAAAGCACATCCCTTATTCCAAGGACAAGTTCTAGGTCTTCTGCTTTTCATTCTTAATTTGTATCTTCCCCTACTTCTTGCTTGTTCCTCCACAATCATTATTGTGCTCATGATATTCAAAATTGCTTTTCCGCCACCTTCTGCAGCCATCCCTTAAGCTTGGCTGCAATTCTCTTAAAAGCTAGTGAGAGTGGAGGAATGCATTCTTTCCAAAAAAACAACAACTGTGAACCATTCCCTGTTGTAACGCAAGGTGTTTTACAAGGCCCATAAGGTACATTCATTTAACAAAAGACCTGCTGTTGGTTGAAATAAAAATGACTAGAACTAATGAGGTTGGCTATGGGGAATGTCATTATGGTTAGCTGCATTTCATGTACCATTATGCCACTCCTCTAACTATTGCTTTTAGTTACCAAGTATCTTCAAAGAATTACCAAAATCTGAAACTCATATGGTTGCTCCTAGATTGAGACAAACTCTATACTGTACTTGGTTGCCCAAGAGAGAAGTAAACTAGCAGGGTGTACATCTGACTAGACATGTAGAAGGCTGTATAATCTTTCATCAGGCATAGGTTTGCTAAAATGCTTAATGAATCTCAGGGTAGTCAGGATTTCCAGTGGTCAAGGGATGAAGAGAGCACATTACTTAGCGTGCACCTCCATCCAAATTATGTAAACTGATCAGTTTTGCATGGATGCATACAGCGTATTCACTGTTGACAGGCCAAGAATTTCATTTTTGTTCCATTTTGCTCCTCAGGGCTTGGGTATGGAAAGTCCCTCAACATTATTAAAACCTCTGCAATCATCTTTGCTGAAAATGGCTATGAACTTTTCTTTTCCTGGTTTGCAGAGAATGCTGACCCACAGGGCCACAGAGCTGCAGATGTCAATGCAAATGTGCACAGTTTCTTTAAGCTGCAAAGGGGGGAAACGCTGAAGAACATTTAAATGCTCTGGCAAAGTTACACTTTTAGACTACAGTGTCTAAATTAGTAGGGATGCTGAGTAAAACTGCAACTTTTCCGAGTCTCTCTGGATCCCTGGAACAAAATAGACTCAGGAGCAAACCAGCTCCTTAAAATCTCGTGCTCCCAGATATGTGTTTTGTTACGAGAAGGGGCAGAATCACCTTCCATGCCTCAGTCGTGTTTTAAGGACCCGTGTAACTGGAGACCAGCCGGAGAGTCAGCTGGTACCACCTACCGCAAGGAATATCTGCATTGCACTGCTCACCACCTCAATATACTGATAATCAAGCAAGCACCCAGTGACGGTGATGACATGGTGGTCTTCGAGGGCCAGATTGGAGTTGATCACGGGGGTCACCAGGCAGCCAGGACCATTCTCCATCCACCACGAACGGTGCAGTGATGTGTTAAAAGTCATGATGAAGTCTCGGTCCTAAGAGCAATGGGATTGCAGAAAGATAAAACTCAGGTCCTTGAAGCCTGGATCTCAGTATGGCAGAACCTCAGGCCCTGGAGCCCAATCCAGCCATCGTGGGCTTCCCTGGAGGACCACAACACCCTTCCTCATAACAATCCCACTGGGCAGTTTGCCATGCTTTATATATGTCCCCCAGCCGCCAGTTTCTGAAACACTGAAATGCTCCTAAGGCTTGGTTCGTAGTTATGAGATACACTCAAATAAGCTGGTTATTTGGGATTCCCTCCTTTTCCCTTTGGGACTGTCCACCACTGGAATGTGGTCCTTGAGGATGCCTCTGAAAATTAATTTGGCCCTTGAGCTCTCCATGGACGAGAGCTCTGTAACAAATGTATTGCTATCATCTGGGACAATGATACAGAACTATTTTTGTTCTTTTCCTTTCCTTTCCATCCCACCACACATGATCATTCCCTTGCAGATCATCCCATTCTACCCCACACACAGTGAGTTGTTTTCACAAAACCCGTGTGGCAAGTCAATGGGATGATCCATTTCAATCTTCATGCTCTATGGCACTGTATTTCAAATGGTGACTTCAGCACCCCCCTGCTCTATCCCATCAAAGAAAAGAAGTGTCAGTTCAGTGGGAACGAAGCCCATGCTCTGAGCAGATAAAGAAAAAGCAACCCCTCAATGTATCCCACAGGGCATTGTTGTTCCTCTGCCATCCGTTTTGGAAGCCATGTGCCAGTTCGGCTATCAAGAGGAAGGGGGGAACGGATGGTTTTGAAGCTGCTGTGGCCTCCGTATCACCTCCTGAACCTGTCTCTCCATCTGCCTTGAGCAATCTAAACACAAAGATGACGGATAGCAGTGATTCAGCTTGTCAGGCAGATCAATGGTCTGAGAAGGGCATGCACCTAGCTTGATTGCAGAAGGTAATTACCTGAGAAAGGTGTCCTACTTCCAAGTAAAAACATATGATGAATGCATTCCATCCAACCCACAGAACGAGCCACACTGCATACTGAGAAGAGAGAAAAGAAGCAGGGAGACAGTTATGAATCGACAAAAGAGGAGGCTGTTAACATCAGGAGAGCCTGCGGGCACGTTTGCAGGTCTCCACAATTCCGTGTCTTATTTTCTATTTAAAGTTGGCAACAGAGTCTCTCCTTTCACCAGGGCTATTCACACCCTCCTCCTCCAGCTAACAAGAACTATCTTTCAGAAGAGAACAAGCAGCAAGACAGAGATGCCCAGGGAGCTGCCCAAGCCAGGGACTGGATGTAACAAGCTGGTGCTGTTGTCTTCTTCTCCGTTGTCTGTAATTATGGTTTTAATGTTTCAGAAGTAACACAATAAATAGAAACGGAGGCATGTTATTCATATAATGAATAGCATTTTCTAGTTACTTTCTGAAGTTTTAGTGGCATGTAGACAGCTTTTTTTCACATTTCGTGCCATTTTCTTATCTTCTTTTCATTAAGGATCAACAACAACAATGGCAAAAGAGGAAGAGAGCAGCAGCAAGAAGTGTGATAGGTTATCTTTCCAATACTGTAACTAATGATGGCACTCTATCAAACCTCAAAGACTATAAAAAGTCATGGAAATCAATGATGTTTAAACGTAACATTCCAAACTTAGCAAGTAAGCAGCTCAGAGAGAGGCCCACACCAATCAGCAGCCTCATCTTCAAATGTTGAGATACCTGTTTAAACAATTCTACAGCTGTGGTCTGTTACTGCAAAACACCAGAGTCCCTGTGACCCCGCAGAACAAGGTGAAGAACTTTAGTGGGTCAGATCCATTTCTCTGCCTGGAACCCACTGCCCAAACCAGCAAAAAGTTAACAGGAAGTGACTTGAAGTACATTTCCAGTTTTGAAATGCGGTGTGGGTGCAACAGAGCAGGGGAATTTGGACTGCCACCTCTCAAGGCTTCTGGGAGCAAAAATGTACCACTTTGGCTGGAAAAAAAAGAGGGGCTGGCAGAGGGATGGAGCTTGAGGAAACAGTGCATGGGGGGTCACAGATGACCCCAACGCTGCACCTTGTCCACCCTGCCTTAAAAAGTAACAAAACTATTATAGCATCAGGTTTTGTGGACTACAATCCACTTCATCAGATGTGCGGGGTGTCAGCACACTAGATTGAGGGTGAGTTGTCACTGTTGGTCCACTCTGCCTTTAATTTCCTGCTGAGACTCACCACCTACAATCCCACCTCCTACCATGTGCAGTGTGTGTATGCGAAATCCTTGAACATTTGATGAAGTGGACTGCAGTTCACAACAGTACAAGCTTTCACGCATGTATTAATTAACCTTTAAGGTGCCAGAGTCTCTTTATTATTATTTTTCCCCATTAAGCTTAAGAACACAGTATGGATTGTTACTGGTAAGCCTTTACAGCAACAAACAAAACCCTCACAAGAAACACAATTAAATCCAGCAGATGGCTGTATCTGAGAGCCTTCATAACTCTGGTCTCTAGTCCATTCAGGCTTACATGGCAACACATCTGGCAACCTATAAAGTGCCAACAAACTGTCTGTTGTCAGAGCTGATTTTTGTGACACCTAACACCACTTAAAGTGAGTCAGTTTTGCAGATGACATGGCTGTGGCTGTGAATGATCCCATAGCTATAAATCCTACTTGCTTCAGACTTAGCTAGTCACAACTCAAATTGTGAATGGTCTCCACGTTCGCTGACACATGAGCATCAGAATGTAACAAGAGCTCACACTCAGTCAGACTGACAGGCAATTCAGTTCACTTCCTTGCTCCCAGAATGCCCAACCAGTTGCTCACAGGCAACTCCTAAGGAACATATGTGTTCAACTACACTATCCATCTTGTGATTGACACACAGAGGCATTCAACCTCTTGATTGAGAGAACAGAGCCAGAAATGGTTCCTTTTCTGGACTGTACTACCCAGATTCCCTCATCCCACAACTAGTGGTAGGAACTCTGCGCTGTAGTCCAAAAAAAGAGGTTTCTCCAGATCTGCTGCTGGAATAGATAGCCATTGCCCTTACCGTTCCGTGTCTAGTCACGCTGGCCACATGACCACGGAAGATTGTCTTCGGACAAACACTAGCTCCTATGGGTTGGAAACAGAGATGAGCACTGCCGCCTGGAGTCGGACACGACTGGACAAAATTGTCAAGAGGAACCTTTACCTTTACCTGTCCTTGTGCTCACTAAAAAAGGCAATAAGATTTTGGGCACAGTGCTGGGTCATCTCACCATCTGACATAGCATTTCATGGGATTATTTCTCTTTCCCTCCCTAAAGAATTTTTGATGTGAATCAACAGGCAGGCTCCCATTGTTGCAAGCACAGCTTGGATAATTTATTTATCTTTTTATTTTTGGACTATATCACCCAGAACCTCCCAGAACATATTTTTATAGATTTTTTAAAAAAATTAAAAACCTAATCAAAGGTGGGAAGGTCTTCTGATTTGTCTACAGCTCTCATAATCCAAGAGCTACTTCCTCAATCTGAAGGATATCTTTAAAAATCAAGAAATTAGAATTTAAATTTTAAAAAATATTAGTAGACACGGGGGTCATATTTCTGCTGACCAAAGCAGTTAAGAAGATATATTCTTATTCCAGAATGAATCCATGGTGGTTACAAAGATGGCTGCCTCCCTTGTCTAAGTACTTACCAGTATGAGATATTTTGACCTGTACTGAATGGTACCAAAAACTCCCAGGATGACAGCCATAATATGCAAAAAATTAGCCAAGATGGGCACCCACTGATAGCCTAGGAAGTCAAAAATCTGCCTCTCCAGGGCTGCGATCTGTAAGAGAACAAAATGGGGAGAGAAAGCAGAGAATTACTCATTTGGCAGCATCTCACAGAACACTTAAAAAAGGAGAAAGAAACGCATCCCATACAATCAAGGACAAATCCTATGGACTATTATAACAGACAAAAACATAGCTGTCATTCTTTCGGTGGTATTGAACAAGCATATAATGGAACAAGGGGAATTCATTAGCAATAACCACAAACAAAAGCCGTGGAGGAAGAGGTGAGGAGGCAGAAACCCACAGGATGAAGGCAAGATTCACATGAAAAGTTGGGGAAGACGGGGAGAGGGGCTTTACCTTCTGGGAAGCCTCCCCTCTCAGCTCCTGGTTGAAGAACAGGCTGGGTGACAAGGACCATCCAAACACTGCTGGACTACAGCTCCTAATACCGTATCAGCCCTCATCATGGCCGATGCTGACTACAGCTGGCGGGAGGTGCAATCCAGCAATATCTGGAAGGCCTCAATTCTCCTTGTTTTGAATGGCAATAGAGGAGGCCATGATTTGATTAACATCCGTGTGGGGGAAAACAGGGGCTAGTGGATTTCATTTTTGAAGGCACAGATGTGCATTATGGAGTTACTCTCATGTTTTATGAGAAAGTTTGCCTCTGCCCCTCCTGCCCTCTTAGGCAAGTTTTAGCAACGAATATAACTGAGTTCTACTGCAGGATGCTGTACTTTCTGTTTCTTAAACAAATCCCCACTGCTTACAATTATTATAAGCATTGCTTAGTATGTTTTAATGGTTTTAACTACAGTAGGACCCCCTCATCTGCAGTATCAGTATCCACTGATTCACTTATCCACTGGCTGAAAATACTAAATTCAATTAATTTTTTTAAAAAAACCCCAAAATATCCAGCGTTTATTTACCACAACTGGCCACTAGATAGAGGCAGAGACCATCCAATGTCTACACATTCAATATCTCCACTTTTTCAGCATCTGCAGGGGAGCAGAAACCTAATGTATTTAACTATTTATCTGTTATTGTTTACTATGTTTTAATTGTTTTAACTATTTAACTTGGAAGGAAGGAAGGAAGGAAGGAAGGAAGGAAGGAAGGAAGCACATTCAATATCTCCACTTTTTCAGCATCTGCAGGGGAGCAGAAACCTAATGTATTTAACTATTTATCTGTGATTGTTTACTATGTTTTAACTGTTTGTACTATTTAACTTGAAGGAAGGAAGGAAGGAAGGAAGATACGTCTGCAATGGTACAACATTCAGTGTATGGATTAAAAATAGAGGGGGCTAAGAGAAATGTGTGCTTTTGTGTGCATTTCATGTCGCAAGTGTACTTATAAAAGTGTTTATCCCAATGTTATACATTTTGATACACATTTCTCTTAACAGCTGGCGCTTAAGCAAGGCTCAGCTGCATGAAGAAGCCCTCTCATCCAGCTTCTTGTCCAAGAGGATCTAATGGTACTCCATGGAGGAACTGCCACCTAAGATTTAATTGTTTGTCACATTGTGAGCTACAGATCCAGCAGCTGCTGAAACACCTCAATTCCCCAAAATTATCTTGCAGCAAACCATCAGTTGTTGTTGTTTTAGTCGTTTAGTCGTGTCCAACTCTTCATGACCCCATGGACCAGAGCACAGCAGGCCCTCCTGTCTTCCACTGCCTCCCAGAGTTGGGTAAAAAAAAACATCAGTAACTTTTATTTAAACTGTCTTTCTATCCCAGCTTCTTTCTGAGTGAAGACGCTGGTCCTCCCTCTCTTTTCATCCTCCTAACAAAACTGACTGGCTCAAGGACAAACAGGACAATCTTTAGTATCAATGGTCACAAATCTGACATCAGAAACGCTGGCTCAAGGACAAACAGGGCAATCTTTAGGGAAACGTGTCAATGGTCACAAATCTGACATGAGAAACCACAACACACAGAAACCTGTCTCCAGGTTTAGAACAGAATCATTATAAATCAAGAATACAGAGGGGGAAAGCTGAAATAAAATTTATATGCATGGTGGACATTCATATAAATGGATTGAATATGAGCCTAGGTCTCATATAAATTGATTGAATATGAGCCTAGGTTTCTTAACTCATTACCAAATGTAAAACTTGTGCTGTATTATCTACTGCCACTGTCATTTTCTTCATAACTACCAAGCCCATCTTTCGTCATAAGGCTCAAAGGTACAAACTGTCAATATTCCCTACATTAATACACATGATTCCTCTATCTTCTTTCACTTTTAGATTTACTTTTACAAATTCTTCCCCCCCCCTTGAGTTTTATCGTAATCCCTAGTCTTCCAAACAACAACAACAACAACAACAACACACCCCTTCTCTCTCTTCTCTCTCCCCCCTAATCTGTGCTCAGGCCTGGTGTTTGTTTTCATTCTCTCAAGTTTTATCGTAATCCCTAGTCGTCCAAACAACAACAACACACCCTTTCTCTCTTCTCTCTCCCCCCCTCATCTGTGCTCAGGCCTGGTGTTTGTTTTCATCTCCTGGATGAATGTTTACAGCAGAGCTCTAAAACAACATCAGTCATAAATTACTGCATGTAGATGTACCTTACACCCAAGAGCCAATGATTATCTAGAATGCTCTACTTGTGAAACCGATGTTTCATTCAACATTTCATTCTGTTTCCGTATGTCTGACGAAATGGGCGTGTCCACAAAAGCACACATTAAAATATAAGAGTTAGTCCTTAAGATGCCACAGGTTTTTGTCTTTGTTTTGTTTCTTTGAGTTTTGTCTGATATGCTTGCACAGACTAACGTGGCTACCTCCTCCAAAATTACAGTTAAAAATTCATTCTTTTTCTTTTTTTACTTCACTTCCAAGCCCTGATTAATACCTTTTCTGTGGCTGAGAACTTTCATCTGGGTTGCTGTGTTGTGTTTTTGGAAGATTGAGCCTTCCCAAACCACCTCAAAGTATACCCGAAACAATACTCAGGAAACCAGCCCTTGGCAGTGATGTTGAGAGAGTGTTTCCCCTCAGCTCTCTGTGCCTGGTGGTTCAATGGAGCTGTGGGTTCTGCCCTCGTGTTATAATCAATTATGAAAAACCTGCCCGTTTCAGTGGAAAGCTATAGCGGTCTCATGTTTGTTCATATGCCACAACACCAGCAACGTGGAAGCTAGTGATAACATCGGAACAGATGTGCCCTGCGATCAGGTCTCATGGTATGCAAAGCCACAAATTATGATTCCTCACAGTTAACTCACCTTGTGCCAATATCTTGCCACGATCTTTCACAGAGCTTGGAAACATTACTATAGCATTACTATAGTACTGAGGAATATCTGGAAATGTACACACTCAGCATAACATTCTCATAACATTCAGCACAACATCCCCCCCCCCAACAGGGAGAGTCCGAAAAGACAGGCAGCTGGATTGACCAATAGCAAGGACTGAGTTTAACGTTTTTAAATCTTTATCAGGAACAAATCTTTTGTACAGCTAATGGCTGTTAACTGCCCATTCAAGACCAAGCTGCCCTCAATACACTTTGCACTATAGCCAGGATAATTCTAAATAGGCTTGTGCCTTTCCCTTGGCATTGTTTCAGTCCTCAAGGGCGAACCAGCCTTCCCTTGTAATTTGAGCCACCCTCGTCTGGGGCTTCAGACCCCTGGATTTTAAGGGTCCAGGGTCCAGTACACTGATGCTGTCATGGACCTCTGAGGGCCAAGGGTCTGCAGGACTTGGTAGTTCCTCACCATTGTCAGATTCTGATGCTTTGCCTCACTGGGCGATTCAGCCGTGACGCCCAAGAATTTTTAACGTGAGATGCCTGACCCCACCCAAGTCAAGGTGTATTAGCACACCTCAACCAAGTTCTTCTGCCATCTGCAGCAGAAAATCTTCGCTCACGTTCCTCTAGCAGTAAAAAATGCACCAGTAAAAAACAGCAAAGTAACAGTTTGCTGGACTTTGATGCCATTACAAATCTGCAACCTGAGGTGGATGGCTCACCTTACCTTATGGCAGGGCCAGCCCTGGGCAAGAATTATACTGTAGGGATTATTTCAAAAGGTTTGGAACAATGGTGTGTGGCAGGCATATGGCAAGAAGGTCTTGAGTACAATAGGATATTGAGAACCTAATTACCCAAATGCAGAAAGTGAAGTTGCCTGCATTGATAATTTATGGTCAATTGTCAAGTTGTTCTCTTTCCCTCCCCCCTCCCTTTCTCTCTCTCTCTCTCTCTCTCTCTCTCTCTCTCCCCATATGTGTTTAGGATTCTTGTTCTCAAAGTGATCTCTTTCAGCAGAGTATGATAAGCAGATGATGAGAACCCAAGAATCTTGTCCCTTCACTATTTATGATCAATTGTGGAAGGTTTGTGTGTGGTGGGTGGGTGGGTGTAATGCAAACTATCAAAAGTCTTGGCTATCTCATAAACATGGCTGATTCAAGGCTCTTCTGCTGCTTGAGCCAGAGCAATCAATCACACCACCCATGTCATGCTACATGCTACCCAAAGGTCTCTGTACTATATTGGCTCCTGAGGCACCAAATCACACAAGTACCTCTTCCATTCCTGGAATTGAAAAACAAAACGTCTGGAATCATATTGATGGAACTATGCCTGAAAAAGGATGGTAACATCACCAGCAGAATACATTTTCAGTAACAAAAGACTTCCCCCTTCTCTCCTGTCACTCTAACTTGTAGATGATCCATTTCATTGTGTGGAAGCCATGGGAGTTGTGAGAAGGAAGTCTTTCATTAAAAAAACAACACCCCTGCTGATGACATCATCACCCTTCTGTAAGCATAGCTATTGTTGCTGTTGTTTCCTCGTTAAGTCGTGTCCGACTCTTCATGACCCCATGGACCAGAGCATGCCAGGCCCTCCTGTCTTCCACTGCCTCCCGCCGTTGGGTCAAATTCATGTTAGTCGCTTCGATGCCACTGTCCAACCATCTTGTACTCTGTTGTCCCCTTTTCCTCCTGCCTTCACACTTTCCCATCATCAAGGTCTTTTCCAGGGAGTCTTCTC